CAACTATTCAATGTTGCCGGTGTACTCCTGGATTAAACAACTAATATTGAGTCTCCTTCCAAAAAGGCAGGAGCATTTATCACACAGTGCAAACATTTTTATTTATATATTTGCAGCTATGGGAGACAGGGCTGTATTAAATTGCTATTTAACATGCACTGAAAATATTTTCACCACTTTTTCCTGCAAGAATCAAAATTAAGTTATTCCTATTATCATAGCCAATCAAGTGATGCCTGAGCAAGTCTATTCAGAAGCAAAATCGAATTTAACTGTTAGGTAACTGTCATTCAGCATCTTCAAAATTAATTTATTTCTACTGGCTCAATACGCAGATGAGGTTTAATTTTCAATTTTTCTTGAAACTGAAAAACATACAAGCCAAAAAAGCAATAGATAGAACACCACTGACAAAATAACATTGATAGAGTCAGACCCTGTTTATAAATGTCTTTAGTGGGATTCAACATTCAAATCTACTTCAAATTTGAAGATTATTTTTTAATGACTGCAAATTCCCAGTGTCATCTCTCTTCCCATATTTATAATGTGGGGATCACAGTGCTGCCTCTCTTCCCTCAGGCTCTTTCATGTTTAGAGGCTGAAACTAATCAGAAAAGGTAACTGGTAAATCCAGAAAGGAATGACCAGGTAAGAATCAATGATTATTGGTGTTTACTTGATAAAAACTTCAATCCTACTGTACCCACTTATACATAATTTTGTGCTGTGTCTAGAGAATGAGCTTTGTAGGAGACTACATGTATATAGTTCTGTCACGACCAGTAGCTTCACAATTTGCTTGATAAGAAATGGATTAACTAAAAGTCATCATGTGTAAACAGGGTGTCTTTGGGGATTTCAAGCAACAGGTTGGATTATAGTATATGCTGCTAATTCACATGTCATATCTGTATACATGTTAGCTTCACATCATTAGGTACTACACTGAGTAAATGGTGCAAAAAATTCAGTGGCATCATTTCCACAGCAAACTTTTCTCAAAGAAGTGTCATTTAGAACACATATACAAAAAGATATAACATCAATAATTACACAGAAGAGTTTGACTGAAGTTGCCCAGCATACTCTTGAAAATATTTTACTTCCTCTGTAAACATTTCTTTTTACATTTATGAGAACAAGGTCATCATTTTGCTCTCATAAATGTTCTGAAAAATTAAATTTTAGATAAATTGTAGAGATGGATTTAAGCATAACAATCTTTTCAGGGGTGGGAGTGAAGTTCAGTACAGAAAATATGTTTCTGAAGGTGGAAAACTTCAACAAAGAATTCTGTAAATTAGATATGGCCTTTGTAAGATTGAATCAAAGGTTCCTATTTAGCTTCCTGACTACAGAAATACAACCTGTGAAGCCAAATCAAATCCTTCTTCTTGTAGGGGCTGGAAAAGTAATTCCCAGATTGGAAGAGAAATTAACAATTTGGTGACCTTCTCCTAGTGACGACTGACTGCACATTTAAGCTTCAATTCTGGTGATATATAAAAAAAAATATTAAGAGACAAATATTCCATAGAGTTAATCTACATGACTGGCACCACCCTATTATGTCCTGTTTGTCTTAACTGTTTGCCACAGTGGCACTGCAAGGCTGTGCTACAGTTGTTTGCTCGTTTGTTTAATTATTCCGGATATCTGCATGTTACTCTTATTCTCTCCCAGTGAGCTGCAGGATAACCAGTCGGACCTTTGGCACATGAAGGATGGAATGCATATGGGGAAGGGCAACCATGAGAAATGCACTAGCAGACCACTAGCACTTCATTTTAAAACAAACAAAAAAATAAGTTCTTAGCCTGAAAGACAGAAGAACATTGGCTGTAGCAAGTATCCCTGACTAGTTTTCATTTGGGATTCACAAGATGTATGTGTGAGGGAAAAGGGGAGTTGCGAGCATCCCAGCAGAAGTACAAGGAATCTGCAGCAAGAGACAAACACGTAGACAAGTTTATACTGAATATGGCTGCATGCAGATGCCAGGTCAACTTGCAGTTTTTCCTTCAAAAGAACACACTATTTGTGATATACATATTTTAAGCAAATGAGAAATAAAGAATCCTGTTTAGTAGTTTACATCAGTGGAACGACACATGACTCTCTAGTTTGGAGAAAAACTAATGAGAGATCTGGGTTTTAAGGTGCACAGAAATCAAGTGAGTTACACCATTATTTAAAAGCAAGTAAGCAAAACTCCACTATCTTAAGACTACTTTTCTTAAAACTACCACTCAGCATTTTACATTAGTGTGGTATCTCATTCATTTTGAAGGGCATTAACTTCACTTTGCCTGACTTGTGGTCTGTCAAGGAAGTTCAGTTACTTGTTACTTTTACTTTTTCTTGAAGACAGTCATAAACTAGAAGTATTAATTGTTTTGACCTATAAGTAAGTGCAAACCCCATCTCGTATACTGTAAATGCTTTTCTCAGCCTAAAGCATGGAAGTTCCAAGTGTGTTAATTGTTTCATGAATTCATCCAGTTGTCTATTCTACTTATACTTGGAAGTGAGAGCCAGCTTTTCAGGGTTTCTACAACAGACAAAGAAAAGTCAGTATACAGCATTTCATAAAACTGTAACAGACCATTCAACGATGAGAGATGTAAACCCTTCACAGAGACTTTTAGTAACAAGACAGACAATGCTATTACATCATCTCTGCCAAGCTGACTAAATTCCTAGGTCAGAAAGCCTATAGAGAGGAAGCACAATACACCAAGAGTTTCAAAAAATTCGACCCATTTCTTGGAAGGAAACTGGTGAAATGAAGAAGAAAACTTTTTTAAAAACCCAAGCAGTTTGTATCCTCCAGAAAAGACGATGACACAAGACATTTTAAGAATAACTATGCTGACATATTCAGGGAAAGAATTTGATCAAAACACCCCACATTTCATTGTTCACAATTAGGCAACATGTTTACTTTTGTTAACTCAAGAAACCTAAAATCGTAAGACACAGAAAATGAGCAATAAAAAGGACACTTCCTATTTTTACCTTTTTTAATCACTCCCACCATCCCCCAAAGTCCCTCCTGGCATCATTTAGATTTATTACACTTCTGGGTAAAACTTGCCCATAGACAACTGACCTGATATGATTAATATTAAAGCAGTGGCTCATGAAGTTTTCCAGAATACAATCTTGATGTTTTATTTGCAAACACACTAAAGAGTCAATACATTGTCCAGACATGGATACCCTCTTGCACCTAATAAATGCAAACACAAAACACAGCTCATGCTTCTATTTCAATACAACTATAGTTGCAACAGTTCTCTTCTCTAGGAGGATAACAAGGTCTTTCAGACTATACATACTCACTCCTTATTTTTGCTTTGTTTTCAAAGATCCTCTTCAGCAGAGTGAATATTCTCACACTAGCACCCTCTTATCTGAAGCCCAGAACTTACTTTGGCACATCTAATTGTGCCAAACAGGGCTACCGATTTTTGTTACGACTGTTCAAAAATACCAAAACAAGCATGAGCATTTACATTAGTAAACCCACAATATGAAGGCTGGCTTAGTATCTCTATCACTGACGTGGATGAGGAGAGAGAACATGCTCTTATTCATGAGGTATGCAGATGACAACTAACTGGGGAAGGGAAGCAGCTGACATTCAGGAGCAGGGCTGCCACCAGGAGGGACCCAGACACTCTAACAGCAGCCTCATGAAATAGTGTCATGCAAATGCCAAGTGTTAAGCCCTTTCCCAGCAAGTAGAGCCCCGCAGCCTTGAGGCTAGGGCTGGAAAACAGCATGGGGGGGTTGGCCCTGGGCACTGGAGGGCAGCAAGCGGAGCCAGGGCCACCCATGTGCCTGAGCAGCAACAAGGGCCAGCCAAGAGACAGGTGAGGGCAAGCACTGTACTCTGCTTTGTGCTTGTCAGAACCCATCTGGGTACTGCCTTCAGTTTGGGTGCCCAACACAGAAACACCACCAACAAAATGGTGAGAGAAGTTCACTGAGGCAGTGAGGCAAGGAGAGGCTGCAGGACCAGGACTGGTTCAGCTTGGAGGAGGTACAGCTTTGGGGGCATGCAACAGCATGCCTGGCACCAATGGGAGGGAATGGAGGAGACACAGTCAGGCTCTTCACAGTGATGTATGGCAGAGTGAGAGGCCGCCCCACAAGCTGACACACAAGAGGACTGGGCTGGTGATAAGGAGAAGCATTTTCCCCATTAAGACAGCCCAATGGTGGAGCCGGTGCTCAGGGAGGTTAGTCCACCTTTGGCCACGGGAGGTTTCACACCCAGACAAGAAGGGGTGAAGTCCTGAGCAGTCTAGGCTGACCCCATAGCTGAGCCTCTGGTGGTCCCTGCCAGCATGAATGATTCTGCATTGTGCAAAACACAGCAGAACGCTTCCACTAACAAAGTGTAAACCTAAAGGTTTAGCCCTCTCCTCCCTCCAAATGGGCAAACTTCCTTTGGGATTTTTCATACTAATTAATTCTACCAACACATAAAGAAATCTTTGTAGATTTTCTGGTTCAGACTGTGCAACATATATAACAAAGTAAGTTTATTTATACTTATAGTTTCTCACTTGTTCTACCTTATAACTACTGAATTTATTCTGCTTAATATAGAATTGTTTCTCCTTATAAGAGACATTTTATTTTCTTATTGGTTCCTCCCATCACAGTAGCCCTCCTGTATTTCATCTCTGTAAAGTCAAGCAAGCAATGCTTCATGTATAAGGTCCGAGTTCTGCTTTTGCAGAAGTAAACATAAATCACTTGGATGTGAAGACAGATATCTAATCATGTATTTAAGGTAGGCACATGCTCATTTGCTCACCCATTCCACTTAAAGACAACAAGCACTGAGCTCTTATACAAAGTTAATCACAAAAACACTTCACTTTGTTTCACTGTCAGGTCAATCTTTATTATTCTAATCATGTACCAGCAGTAAGCAGCAACACCTTTATTGTGATGGCTTTTGACATGGGTGCAGGACTCACCCCTCCTGCCTTTAGCAGCTTTCTTCTGAATTCCTCTGTTGGGTTGTTGAATGTGAGCTTTTCACAGCGGAGGTGATTTACAGGTGGGTGACCTTCAAGGTGCAGGAATAAGTCATAGTCAAATCGAACTTTCTTAGGTTCTTCCTAAGGGTGAAAATAACCAGATAGAAACATCTAGCACCAAAACTAAGGTTGAAAACAAGGGCTATATAAAGACTGTCAATTAAAATGAAAATTTTGTCATTTTTAACCATTCTCTGTGTTCTCAGACACATGCTGGATTTTACCATGCATCAGCTGAGCTACAGTAAATCAGAGAAGCTCCCATCAGCCCATGGTAACACACGGTAAAATGAATGAACTTTACAAACTTCATGCTGTCCTGACAAGGCTTAATTGAAACTGTTAGGTCATGTTTAGCACAGGCGGCAGACATACACACAGGTAAGTATTATGATGCAGCTGACACAAGGTAACTCTGCCACCAACACAGTCATGTTTCTGAGTCCTAGACAGTACTGAAGACACTGCAGTATGTTTTGAATGCAAATATCTCCACTGAAGCCAAATATTACTGTTTTCTTCACGAGCTGTAGAAAGGCATAATGAAACTGCTGCAGACCATTATATCTGATTTCCTATCTACAGGGTCTGCTCATTTACTAACGAAACTTCATTGCCTTGAATGAGTGTGGTCAGCTAGATTTCAAGTGCTCCACGACCGGTTCTAAGCAATTAAAATCCTCAGTCACTGCAGTGAAAAAATTAAACTCAATGTTCCCTGTACCAATATGGAGAGAAAAAGAACGGGAAAGGCATATTTATCTTGAAAGAAATCATCGGTGCTCTACTGCCCTAAGAAAGGCTCAGATGAAAAAAAGGACACTAGTGGCATTCAACAGACTTCTGTTTATAATACCAGAGAAAAGATACTAAGTATGTTTTGTGTTACACATTTACACAGTCCTTTCTAGAAGCTGTACATAAGTTAAATGGCTCTTTTAGGGCAATATTAAGTAGCTCTTCCTCCAGAGGTGCTGATGTGCAGTAGAGGCCATCAAACCAGTGTCAGTCATAAGTCAGAACAGAAGTAAAAGGTCAAACTCAAGAAAAGCTTCAGTAAAAAGGGAACTATAAGGGAAGAGAAGGAAGAGATACAACAATATCTTAGCACATATCCAATACTGGATGTAGTCAAAATGTGTGCGATAGATGCTTTGAAAATTCACGTAAAAAAAATGTACAGTTTGATTCAGGATTTGAAGGATATGAAGAATAGAAAGCATAGAAATCTCAGTTATTCTAAAAGTAAATCAGAGGTTTCAAACACAGCCAAGGGACATCCTCATCATCTCATCTCTAAACTTGGAGCAGAGATAACAGAATGGGACCTGAAATAAAAGGCCTGCAGTAGTCTGTTTCTGAAGACAGAAGAGAGTAGTCCCCTCAGAATTATTTTCTTGACAGACCACTTTCAAAGGCAATCATGGATGAAGATATTTCTTACTGTTAGAAAGATTAACACATGATCTCTTGCAGAAAAAAATGGAAGTGATTTACTTCCCGATCTGCTTAGAAAGCTCATGTTGCTACAGGCAGTTTGTACCACCAGCTTTGTCATAAAAGCAATGTTATAAAAAATTATAAATGTGAGTCTTCAGAGAATTCTGTTGAAAGTTTAACATAACCAGTGATTTCAAAGCAAACTTTTACTACACAAAAGACTCCCAGTACCACTGCTATTGTGTCAAAATGGTGTGACAGTGAAGGCACTATACACTGCAGTTTATAAGCCTTATCCTAAATGGACTACATTTTCCAGAATGGAGTCCTTTGACCTAAAAGCATTTTTTCCAAGGACTTCGTCTCAATGGCTAACAGCTATAGTCTTGCTGATGCTGAATTTTGGAGGGGGATTGTCTGTTATTTCCCTAATCCTTTAAAGTTTAGAATATTTTCCAGAGTGAAATGCCAATTAGATTTGCTGCCATTTTCTGCTTAGTCCTGGGAACAGGTACCCTTTAACTCTCCATGGTCCAGGTGGCTTCCTGCACGCTTGCCTTCTCTATTCATTAGGGTACTTTCTGAATCGGAAATTGAAAAGTTGTCTACCTTGATAAGTGATGATGGTCTGTCTCCTCTTCCTCTTTCTATCTCCTCTTTTTCTGTAATGGAATAACTGTGAAGTGGCTTAGGGAGGAAGAGTAGCTGAGCCAGGAGAAAGCAGTAATTTGCCTCAGGAATGCCAGCTCAATTTTTGTGTCATTTTTCCTTTATATTGTACCAACCCAGGGGAAGGGCATGCTGCTGCAGCTGTGTGAGTCGTATTCCATGACACCAAAATAGGGGTGAAGCATGTTTGCAAACTTCCTAATTCCACATGCTGCTTGAGGGTGAGGTGAGTTGTAATCACTGCTGCCCTCTTGATCTCAGTCTAAGCCACAACTCCTGCTGGAGAACTCCTGAGACTTGCAGGTCTCCACAGTCAGCAAAGGCAGCCAAAAGTCTGAGTGAAAACAAAAAAAGAAAAGTCGGGCAGGAAGCTTTCTATAGAGATGCTTCAAAGATTGACTCACTGTCTTCTCACTTTGTCTGCCCAGTTTTGGGATGAGCTCTTAACAGAGGAGTTAAAGAGAAGGGGTTGCTTTCCATTAGGTTTCCTGAATAAATCAAAACTGCTTCCCTAATGGAGACAGAGCTAAAAAGCATACTAAAAAGGCCAGTCATCTCACTGAAGCAGTTCTGTTTCCTTTTCCAACAGCAAACAGTGTAGTCTAAGCCCTGCTCTTCACAGATTGATACAGGGAACATTTCAGAATTACCTGTTCAAAATTTACAACTTAGAAAGTGCCTGAGCAGAACTATCCACACCTCACACCTTGACAGCTTTCTGTGAAAGACAAAAGAATACTGGAACATCTATTTGAAGGCATATACAGCTAACAAAGTTGTACTCATAACATAAATTTTAAGTTACCAGGGTTCCAACAAAAGTCTTTTACTATACATTTCTATTTTATTTCAGATTTAGTTTTCCATCAAGCATGCAACACATTAAAGATGTAACTCTGACTTGATTAAAGTAATTATGTTAAGCCACATCTTGGTAACATAAAATAAACACACAGGTATCTTAGAAGTGCATATGAAGTATAACAGCTCCACTAAGGCACACAACATACCAAAGGAACCTAAAATATTGCAGTTATTAAGGCAGCGTACATGAAACCTTGCAATTCCACCTGAATCCAGTCCTTTTTAGCTGAACATCTTATTAACAATACAGACCCTGTTACATACATTAAAGGAAATCTCTGTATTTGCTTTGTAAGAGACCCACAGTAATTTACTAAGCATTTACCTAGATTCAGAATTTGAGATACCACAATAACGCAAGCTTTGTAGAACAGCACAGGGTTTGTTTTTAAACTGTGCCCCCTGGTAATGTTGAGTAGAATCAATATTCACATGCAGTCTGAAAGAATGTTTTTTCAGGCTGAGGATGCAGGATTTAAAAAAAAAAATATACTGTTTTCAAAGATCAAAAACTGAATAAATTAAAAAGATCAGCAACACTAAAATAGAACAGGTTCATTATGAAATAAACATAATCAAGATCAGTTTCCTTTCTTAAAGTTTAAGTGGCCCTTGAACTTCCTGAAGCATTATTTAAGGTCTGTCCACTTCTGAGTAGGGCTAGTAATTCTTCTGAATAATTACATTCAATTTATTTTACCAGGTAATCCTTATTTCATAGTTATGTACTAAATACAATTATGCATTGCTAAAAGTTATAGTGACTTTGAATTGAGGAACAGCACTTACAAAGATAGCTTTAAACCTAATTTTATGAATTAAACTGTAAATCTTTAAAAACCTCTGATTTCCACATTATTATTTAAATTAGTCGGGTTTTTTTAAAATGAAAAGTATGTGATTCCATACCTTGTTTTTGAAGTAAACCTCAATCGGTAAAATGAAACCAGCATACCCAGATTCTTCAACTTTGTAGGGTGGATCCTTGCACACTGAAAAAAAAAAAAAAAAAAAAAAAAAAAGTTTTAAATGCACAAGCAAAACACATGAGCAAATAATCTGCTACGATCTGTGGCAGAACCATTGCAAAACTGCAGAAACGAAGTAGGACATAGTAGGACATAGCTGTGCACAACTCAATGTGAATTTTCAAGCAAATCGTTCCTGCCTGTATACAACCTACAGTTTAGGGACAGCAATTCTTTTTTTTTCGCCCCAATCCTTTCAAACTGCTAAAGCAGAACCACTAGGAACTTCAACACCAGGGGGACCCACTGAGTACCCACACTGACTACACAAGCAATGCACCCAAGGCTTGCTCTAGGAACAGAAAATACATAGGATCCCACCCTGAGATAGTTACATAGAGGGCAGAAGAAGGGTCATTCATGCATTCGTAACCTGATATTAATAAAATCCTAATTATAATAAATATTTTAAATAAATCAGTTAATTTAATTAGAACTAATACTAACAAAACTGGAATCTGCATTACTGGGGAAGGGGGGCCACACAACACAACATTCCAGTATATAGTGAAGAACCTCAGGAAGGTTAACTATTGTGTTATGTTGAAACAGTACCCAGATTTACCCTATAGGATTCAGATTTCTTTAACATGACAGTGAGTATTACTAGCTCCAATATACAATCTTTTCATTCAAGTTTTCAGTAGTATTGAACATGAACTCTCTGAAGAAACTGGCACTAGGTCAGCTCCAGCCAGTGACCAAAAGCAGGTTGTTATAGAACTTGGACCAGAAGCCACCTCCTCCTTCTCCTGTTTGGCTGTGTGACAACCTCATTATAGAATTCATGTCCGTGTAACACATAAGCACAAAGGTAAACTAAGCTCGAGAAACCACGCATCTCCTGTAGCATCAACTCAGATGCTTCCAAATGCTGCATTGATACGCATGACATGTCATGTGCACTACCATCTCAATGTCATCACAGGACAGTGACAGTTTCTCTACTGTAGACTGGAAGTATGATGCAAGTCATACACAAAGGGCTGACTTCTTCAGAAACACTGCTCAAGCTCTATCAATCTTGCTGACAAAAAAAAAATAAAATAAAATTCAGACTCCCAAATGGATCATCGTTTGTTAAGATGTACGCTTTTTTCAGAACTGCCTGGTAGCTGCTCACTGTACTGTATCAGGTGCAACTTAAACTATACTTTACAAAACATGCCTTGCCATCAACTTTTAAGGGCGTGAATACCAAAATTACTCTTTTTAGCAAAGCACCACAGATGGGCATTTACCACCCTCTAACATCCCGAGAATATGACAAGGCCCATCAGATACATTATGGTCAGTATATCAGCTTTCTGAGGACACGCAAACTTGGTAAATCCCCAAGTAAATGAACACAGCAGAACTTTCTCCTATTACCTTGCAATTCTCCTCCTGCTCTGCTAGCACCAGACCCACACAGAGACTTCAACAGCGAGAAAGATTCCAAGTCCTTGCTCACATACAGCAGCTGGCTATCACTACTCAGTTCACTTAATGCAATCAATGGAAAGGCAAAATGATGACAAAAACAGAGCAAGAATAACCTCATTTCCAGACTTTTCTGCAACACTGTCTTACTGTAGCTACAGAACTCAGTTTGCTTTTCTTGGCAGGAAAAAAGAGGCCCTACAGCTAATAAAATGGGATTTCAAAGACTTTGAAGAAAAGTGTTATGATAGGTCAAATCTGAGAGATTGTTTCAGACATACCCAGCCTTTAAGTTGGGATCTAAGCATTTTGCGTTATAACCTCCCAGAAATAGTATTTCACTTTATACTGACATCTTCCCTTAGGAGGGCTTACCAGCATTTGAAAAATGCAAATATAATAGTCCTAGTTAAGCACAGTGGCAGGTTTACAGGAATACATACTGGCAACTTTTTCAGTCAAAGATAAAGAAACCTTCCTGCTCCTCCTATGCCTTCAGAAGACAACTTAAGGAGAAAGACTTCTTAGTATTATTTAAATGGCCATACAAGGTTCAGAAGTATGAAATCCACTTCTATAAAAACAGGGAAAGATTATGCAGCAGATATTTATCCAGATGAAAACACAGAAACTTTAGAAACTATAATAATAAACTGTTACAGCAATTTCTAGCTTCATTATGTGACAAGTAACAAATCACTTCTTTTTAAATAACTATCATGTCAACTTCCGAGCACTTAATTAGTGCAGAAAACACTGTCAGTATAAAATATTTCTTATTCTCTTCCTCAAATGTCTAGTCTTTCAGATTTACACAGCTGTTAGCCATGCTGAATAGTACCTTGTCAAAGTGTCACATTACAGTTCTGAAAACAAAGTCTGTTACACTTTCAGGCTTTGATGAAACTTGGGTGATGTCTTACAAAACACTTAATCACAAAAAAACCACTTTGGGTGCCTTCCCAAACTGAAAGATGGGCTTTTAATAGAAGGAAAATTATATAGACTTGTGAAAGAAGCCTTCCTGAAAATAAAAGTGACTGAGCAAAGCTCCATGCTACTGCACACATGCAGACTACAACTAAAATGAAAACTTTCCTCACCATTCTTTTTGAAGCCACTACTATTTGTACTAGCAGAAACAGCATCTCTGTGAACCCTGAACCAGCACTCACCAGCATAAACTCTTTTTGGTTTGTTGAACTGTCTGTGCTGGTTTTGGCTGGGGTAGAGTTTATTTTCTTAACAGTAGCTAGTATGGGGGTCTGTTTTGGATTTTTGCAGAAAACAGTATTAGTAAGACAGGGATATTTTCATTATTGCTGAGCAGTGATTACACAGTGTCAAGGCCTTCCTAGCTTCTCAAAAGCACTCCACCAGTGAGTAGGCTGGGGGTGGACAAAAAGCTGGGAGGTGACACAGCCAAGACAGCTGACCTCAACTGACCAAAGGGATATCCCAGACCATATGACATCATGCCGAGCAATAAAAGCTGGTGGAAGGAGGAAGGGAGGACATTCAGAGTTATGGTGTTTGTCTTCCCAAGTAACTGCTACATGTGAAGGAGCCCTGCTTTCCTGGAGATGGCTCAACACCTGCTGCTGATGGGAAGTGGTGAATCAATTCCTTGTTTTGCTTTGCTTGTGTGCATGTCTTTATCCATGAGTTTTCTCACATTTATCCTTCCAATTTTCTCCTCCATCCCACTAGAGGGGAGTGAACGAGTGGCTAGGTAGATCTCACTTGCGGGCTGGAGTTAAACTGCAACACTGCCACAAGTAGCAACAGGGGCTGCAGTGACACGTGTGGTTTAGCTCAGCCAACAGGCAACCATTCTAGCAAGGTTTGTTGAGTGGAGAAGAGAGAAGTCACAGGAGTTTAGTAAATCACAGAAAAGGTAGATAGAAAAAAACAACAGGAGAGGAAAAAAAACCCCACCCTGTACTGAGGAAAGAGAAACAAAAGCCAGTTACAAGTCTAGACCAACAGAAAACCAACAACAGAAACTAGGAAGGAGTGATTTTGAAGAGGAAATACCTGGAAACCCTAATCTGCTTCTCAAAGCTTGTCAAAAAAGCAGCTACGCTAGACCAGTTCAATAAGCAGAAAACACTATCCCCTTCTACAGACAGGCAATTAATTTCCTCCTCAGAAGGACAGAAGCATCTTCCCAATGACTGCTTCCCTCCTTTGAAGGAGGACCTACAGATGCATTTCAAGCAAGAGATAAACAAAGTCTCTTGCATAACATTATCACTAAGACTTAATTATTTGGGTCAGATTTTTTTCTTATGGAAACAGCTTTTATGATCACAATGCATTTCCTCCCTCTCTGGTCTATCTTTTGACTAGGTGGTCCAACTTCAAGCCAGTCTCCACAACAATTAAGGCCCTATAGATTCCTACAGATCCAGTTAAAAATTATTGCCTGCACTAAGGTGGCAGTTGCAGAGAACATCTTCACTGAGATGCAGCCAGCAGTATGCAGAATACAAACCAGTTATAACACAGTGTCTCTTCTTACAAGAACTGTAGGGCCAGGAGTAGAGAAGTAGAGAAAAGCAAAACTATGCAGATTTCTTTTAAGCCCACCAGTCACAGAATAAGCTGGGTTTTTTTGTTGTCTGTGTAAGACAAGATAAGCATGACACTATACTGTTATTTTACCTTTGTCAGAATGCAGGATCATTTTTTTTCTTCCATAAATGAAAGCTTTAATCTTAGGCATTTGCAAATGCATTTGCTAAACACAGACCAGTCTCCTAAAGCAATTTTAGGTGTAATTTTGAAATAAAAATAGTTTATGCAACACAATTACACAGGCAAAGTCCATCACTTCTGTTTATCATGTTTCATTGTATTTTGGGGTGAACACTGCTGTAGTAAGTACAACACTGGTACGTTTGAGGCCACAGAAGGGAACTTAGATCAAACAGGGCTGTAACTATAGCAGAAGCTGTTCAAATACTGCAAAAGAACTCGAACTTATGTGAAACTAAAGGACTCCACCAGCTGATAAATGATGGAGGGAAGACGGGAAGGTGTAGAAACGAGAGCAAGAAGGCTCAGGCCCTATGACAAGAAGTAGTTCTCACAGGTGGAATGTCATTTTTCCATAATGTTAGGGAAGCATACACATACATGCAATTCCACAGGTACTGATCTCCAGTACTCTACAGACCTCAGGTGCTCATGTACAGTATACTGTCACTTAATTTCCCTTGAGGGAAACTATTTAGGCCCTCAGCTGCAATCCTAGCTGTATTGCAAACACTTCACAAACAAGAGAAATAGAAGCATATTGGTTGTACTGACCTATTAATTTTGACCATCCTTCCCATACATGCACGTGCAGTAATCTGCAGCTGATAAAGATTATTGAAATACTCAATACAAACAAATAGCGCCTTCCAGAGATCACTGCAAGATATCAATGTGCATCTTGAAATGAAAGCTCAGTAACAACATTATCATTGCTAATACACAGTGTTATTAACAATGATTTCCGTATTATCTCAGTATCTATTTTGGTAAAATTGCCT